ACGTTGACCATCAGAGGGTGGGAAGACTAAATTCTTCTTTAAGAGTAAAATAGCTCTCTTTTCAAACCTAAAACCTAAATCACCTATGTGACAACTACATTTAACAAGTGATAAAACATTTTTCATACCTTCATATTGTTATACATCTTTGTACATGACTGCAAAATTGCCCGGTCCAATGTTAAGCATATTGTGGGTTTTTCAGTTTAAAATACACAAGACTGAAGGCAGACACTTAAAAGCTTTTCCAGTAATTCCCATCATCACACATTGTTTCAGTTTTAAGCTTCAACCCTCAATAGTTGATGCTTTCTTTGCAGTGGTTAGTAGCAGTCTGCTTTACCAGGCTTTGTCTCCACTGACTTCCTCTCCATGTGTCATTTACTGTAGCAGGCCAAAGTCACCAGAGAAAGGAGTGTAAGCGAAATCAACTAAAGAGTAAAGATTGTTCCCCCAAAGACAGCATTGACGTTGTAAAAGGAATTCTATCAAGTGATATTTTTACCCAGGAACACCCAGGACCTAATACAATTTTGTACTAACATGTAACCAAGGCGACCTGCACAATGGTGGCATGAGGGTGACAGTCCAAGTGAACAAAGGATCAATTTTAGTCCAAAAGGTGTTTGGATTTAGAACTATCCAAGTGATGTCACTGATTGAAACACCCTTCCTCTTTCTGAGGTTTTGTGGCTTGCTGAAGGAAACGTTTGAGAATGGAGTCAGCTCTGGTGTGTAAAAGTCAGTCATATTTCTCCCTTACAGTCCATAAGGGGGTTGTTTTATAGGTTGTTATAATGGTTGTGTTAGCAAGCAACCTTAATGGTGGATTTTAGGACCCATAAATCAATACACGTGCTTTCTCATTGTCCTCTCCAGTCTCGTTCTTCTTCCTTCCCCTGACCTAATCTTATTTAAGTTAAACATATGATAGATGAAATAATTAATCCAATCTCCCCACTTTAGCACAGTTATTTTCTGTTATTCACACCCTCCTATTGGCCCCTGTTCTTTGCCCCACTATCTCCTGCCAATCAAAGCAGTGCAAAAGCCAGCAGTTACCTGCTGTTTCAGTCATCTTGCTCTGCAAAGCTCAGAGCCCTTCATCATCCCCTCTATCTCAATCTTATTCTTTCTCCTCATCCACCCATCCCTCTCGCCTTTCACTGCTCTGCAGCGAGGCTTAGACTCGTTGGTCAGAAGCCAGGGAAACTCTTTTCTCTCCGCAGGCAAAACAATTGGCTCCTTTCTCTGCATCACCTCTCGCCTCACTCGTTTTCTTCTCTATGCCGGCCGCCTTCCATCAAATTGCCATTCTTTTTCGTGGGACTGTATGCATGTAGGCATGCTGCAGGGTTTAAGTGCTTAAATGTCTACATCTTGTGCTTTCAGAGGCTCCCTCTGCTTACGCTCTCACTCGCTCCTTTTTGTTTTTCCCAGCCTTTTCAATGTTTTTTTTTCTTCCCCTGCATTCTTTTCACCGCATTCTAAAAATTCTCCCTCTTTTACCCATTATTTCTATGTGTATACTGCTTCATTCATATTCTTTCTCAGCTATAACGTATCATCGGCCCCTTGATAATTAGTTAAGTTGTAGTCTCTCTGTTCACAGTCTCCGATCGGGGCCTCATCCTTTTCATCTTCCCTGTGTCATCATTACCTTCCCCTTTCCTTCCACCAAATATATTTGACTCTCACTCTTCCCATCTGGCCTGACATGGGATGGGGAAGTGGCTAAACTTTTATATCTATCAATTTAATCCTGCACACAGAGTAGTAGAGCTGCACTCTAAGGCCCATCTCACATTGAAGGCGGGCTGCTTTGTCTGCCTGTCTCTATTTAGGCTTCTTTTTGACAGGCTTGGCCCCATGTCCCCCCATGAATCTCTCTATGCCTTTATTTTTAATCCACTCCCTATTGGCATGCTGGTGCTCCGTGTTTATTGAAGCTGAAATGAATGCAAGTGTCAGCGGGCCCAGTGGGTTAAAAAAAAAAAATTAAAATACATTATGAAACATGGAAGATGTTGCATATGCGGGAGCGAGACTCTGTTTACAAATCTAAGTGCTGACAGGGATACATTTGTAGATGAGAATATAAGCACCCTGCTCTCACTCTGCAATTAGATGAGGATGTGTGAGGAACAGTAGTGGTCCCTTTCAACTCATGATCATAGATGTAAAAAACACTGCAGCGCACAGTTAGCGGAGCCTCAGAGGGATGAAGGAGCTGGTCGTTTTATAGCAGCCTACAGAGGTGTAAGAGTTTTGCTGCCGCCCCGTCACTCACTCTGACTGTGACGTGAACGGTGCAAGCTTGTGCTGGAGCGTGTCTCCGTTCAGCTGAGGAGAGTGCTGACGTCCTCTCCCTTGAAATGCTGCAACATCTTTGCAGCTCAGTGCAGAACCTTTACCGTGTATACACGCTCTGCCTCTCTCTCTCTATGTCTGTCTGAGCCTCACACTAAAACACAACATTGACTGCATGTGTTATCACTTCATTACTGGCGGGAGACTTTTTCTTTTGTATTTTTTTTTTGCATGAATCATTCCATGTCTATAAAAGTAACCTCTGGCCTTTTCGGATTCTGAAATAAGAGATGGAAGGTTGTGCTCCGGCCAGTGCTTGCATGTACACTTTTGTCCATTCATGTGTGTTTACATACTGAGGGGTATGAAGGAGTTTATGTTCCCATTCAGCTCTGTCCTGTTGTGTTGTGGCCTGGCAGCAATGAGCTTATGAGAGCTCTCCTGTCTCCACGCTTCAATAGCTCCATTATTCATAAAACTCTGTGCCAACAGCCTTGACAGCTTTGTGTGTGCGCATGTGTGTGTGTGTGTGTGTTTCTATACATCTTTGTGTCTTTCTTTCCAGTATTCATATGAGTACTCTAAAGTCACCATCGCATCTGTCAGTACTTCAGAAATTTGTAAACTACTGTGATGTTTGTCCCAGAGGAAAAGAAGAAGATGGTGAAAAATTGGAGGATTTGTTTTTAACTCAGCAGGAGTTGAAGGGAAGTGACTTCATGAGGATGGAAATGATTATGTGGTTATCTCAGAAACTTCACTGACTTTGGAAAACAAAGCAAATCTTCCTTTTTGTAATTTGCTTTTAACACTTCTTAAACACTTTCTTTAAAAAAAAGAGGATCTCTTTACTTCCTACCAAGGTCTGAGCCCTCAGTAAGTCTATCAAGGACACAGGTTTTTCAGTCATCAGTCACGAGCCAGTTTCATCCAGTCTACTGGGTGACATTAGTCAATAGAAAAAGAAGAAAAAATCATCAGTTCTTCTGGATCATTTATGTTTGTGTTTCTTTTAACTATCTAAAAACAAAAAAAATGAACTTAACTGAATCCCCTAATCTGATCTAACTTGTACAATGTCTATACTGTGTGTGTTTAGCAAATAGCATCATTAGCTTGACACATGTACAGTTACCTGTTACTTTTTTATGGCTGGCTTGTGTTTTACTGCCAGTACTGACTAATTATTTTATGTTCATCTGCTGACAGACCATATTCCATGGATTATTGTGGTAGATATACCTGAACAAAATGGCACAGCATTTACTTTTAAGCGTTTATCCAGAGCAGTATTTATGGACACGGGCGAATTTACAGTCAAGTAAATGGAAGTTGAGAGGAGTTTGCCTGATACACCCGATGTGTATATATATATTTTTTTTACTAAGGTATCGCTTTTTGCCCTGTGATGGACTGGTGACCAATGCAGGGTGTCACCAATGATTGTTGGAACCTTTAATCAGCTTTGAGGGGTGATTTATCTTTTGATTAAAGGGGTAATTGTTTTAATCGGCTATTACAGACAATGTGTTACTTAAAAAGTTCTACTGTTTAAACTTTAACAATGTGGCTTAAGCATAAAAAGATTTTTTCTTTTAATAAAAGGTACAGTACTTCTTTATCTGATATCGCCACTGTCAATAACAGAAATACCCTTTTGCTGCAAAAGGCTGAGTATTATTAAAGTCTCATTCTCTGGCCCAAGACACAGGGGGATGCCGACACAGCAGAGCAGATGAAGGCCAGTGATAGGGGTAATTGTTAAGAGGAACAGAAAAAAATGAGAATTAAAAAGAAGGAGAAGCCGACTGTCTGTCTGTTGCTCAGTGCCAACTGTGAGGTGCAATATAATAAAGTAGGCTGCTTTCAGTGAAAGGCTTCATTGTTCTGCCTGGCTGCAAAGTCCAAAGTACTGAAAGAGGTGTGTGTGTGTGTGTGTGTGTGTCTCCTGCACACTTCTCACCAAACTGCGTTCTTATATGTGCAGGCTTACAAACCTCACTTTGGCTGTGAAACCCTTGTGGTATGTACATAACCCAGGCATTATGTTATTGGAACTGTTCTTTTTCTGTCACAATCATTTTCGAGTCCCAGCACACTGTGAAAACAGAAAAAACTCAGTAAACTCAGAAAATTCAGTATCGATCCCAGAGTCTCATCAGTAGCTGTCAGGTTTTTAATCTGGGTAAGTGGACACAGGTGATGAAGCTGTGATGGACACATCTATCCATTCACATCACTTTTTCTTCAGTAGTCGTCGGCAACAGAGAGATTTGACATGGTCTGCAGAGTACGGAGGGAGACTGTTGGTGGTGGTGGTGGTGGTGGGGGGGGGTGCTTTCAGCTGGCAGTCCCATAGACGCAGAGAGGTTGTGCTTGTCTTGGCAGTGGACTCAGCACATCTCTATCACATACTTGCTGTCTTCATCACTATGGTCAGCGTGTGCATGTGTGCGTTGTGGACTCGGCCCCTGGGTGTTGCTGTAATGTGAGGAGATTATAGAGCTGGTGCCACAATGGACGCTGGCATCAACACAGCCTGGCAGGGGCATCAATCTGACTCAGGCTAAATATACCTCAGAGTATTTGTGAGTGTGTGTGTGTGTGACTGTGTGTGTATGTGGGGGGGGGCATACCTGGCAAAAGGATTGCCCATTTCTGAATTCTCTCCTTTTGTCTCTCTTTTTCAGGTCTTTCACACCCATGTGGGATGTTCACCTCCAGTCTTAGATGTGAGAAGTGAACTGCATTGTACTTCACATAAGGCGAAGAGAGCAAATCAAGAGAATTCTTCAGAGGAGAGTAAAGTGTTTGAAAATCGCACCGATTAAAACCTGAGGAGAAAAACTTTGAGAAAGCCTCTTTTGTAAAACACCCGAAAGACTGGTAGAACCAGAATAAGACTGTAGAAATACAACTCATATCAACCCCAACATAAGACATTTAAACCCACCCAAAGTTTCTTCATCCCAACTTCTACAAGAAAAGAGTTGGTTTTTATTTTTGCCAAGATGATGACCATGATGATGATGATGGTGGCCATGATGGTCACCTGCAGCTCTCTGTTACTGCTGGGGCTCGCTGCTGCTCACGCCACCTCGAGCACCGTGAGCCGCTCTTCTTCTTCCTCATCTTCATCAACTTCCTCCTCGTCCTCACCCTCATCTTCCTCGCCACGCATGAAGCTGTCATACAAAGGTAAGAAAAAAAGCCGCTGTATTTTATGGCGAAAAAGACAATTGTTCAAATCACTCGTTGTGTTCTCCACTGACCAAAGACGCAACCACTTACACACGCACACACACACACACACACATGGTCTTCAGATTCATTTTGTGTGCCGGCCATATCCTTTTTAAGGTAAGCACTCCTGAGTGGTAGCCAGCTGTAATTTGTGGCCAGTGTGATTCACAGCCACAATCATGCACACGCGTCCACTTTAACACACACACACACACACACACTCAAACACACAGGCACACACACAGTACAGTTTTATGTTTTTCTTTGCAAAGTTCTGTGCTTAAGGAGGAGGCAGCCCAATACCCGGCTCAACCACATAAACCAAGCACATTTTCTGTCACTGAAAGCTGGCAATTACAGCCTGAACTTACTCACCAAGGACAAGAGGTTCACTGTGGGCCGTCTGCCCGGCAAAATATAGTCTGCCTTTGATTCTGGTGCAGGGTAGCTCGTAGCATACAGGATTGAAAGACAGAAAACTGCTTAAGTTTGACACATGAGTGACAAGACATGGCCTCTGCTATTTTTGTAAGGTCTACTAATTTTATGAGGCCACTAAGTTTGCAGAAAGTTCATAATAGAGTCATAACCAATAGAAAAAGCAACGGCGATGAACACTAGCAAAAACCAAGACTTGCCAAGCACGCTCTTCCTCACAGGAGCAGCCAGGGAAGTCAGTTTGGACAAGTCCATGCAGCACTCAAATGTCTTGAAGAAACACTGCTAGGCCAGTAAAAATGTAATGGGTTGTCTGGCCATGACCTTCAGCATTATTGTCTCACTTTTAGCCTTGTTGCACATCTAATGAATGTGTCAACACGCAAGTTGATCACGATTTAGTGCTTGTGAAGCTGATTATTCATCAGGGTCAGAAAATCAAAGTATTTGGAGTGATTCCTTGATAAATGAGAACTGACGCAGCACAAAATGATTGAAAACAAATAACTTATTAGATACTACTTGACTTTTGTCCCTTTAACCAAAGACATGCATGTAAACAAGTTTATGTTTATCCTCACTGGTCACTTTTTACTCATCCATCTGCAATCAATGAAAAAGATTAATAATAACAAATTTTTTGTCTGGTCTCATTGAGAGCTAATTGTAAACTTGTGAGTCACTCATTTAATAAGAAGATAACTACCATCTAAAGATTTAGCGAGATTTAGCACCTCGTTTATTCATTTGTCTCCAGGTAAAAGACATGTGGTGTCATCTCTCTTTACAAGATCACAACATCACGCTTTCCGGACTACTAGCACACGCCGTTTTTGATATATGTGTCTTCAGTAGGCACAGGGTTATTTTCAGCACATTATGGTGGGAGTAAGTAATAGGGCCCTTGATGTCATGCAGACAGCTATTAGGTGGCGTCAGAGCTACAACAATAACAGGCTAATAAAGCCTTTTAAATGTATAAGTGCACAGGGGTTTGGTCTTTTATTTTGATCATGGTTTAAACAGGGAGAGCAGAAGAGGATAAATCCCCTTTATTTTTATGGTTTCTCAGGCCAAGAACCCATTCTTTCTCCATTGACTTTTTTTTTCTTTTTTCCATTGGTTAACTATAATTTACAAATACAAGGCAAATGTTCCTGGGCCCTGTTCCTCCAGAATTTGTTTTTGGCAGTTTGGAAACAGCGAGGACACTAACTTTTTCCACTGAAACCGTTTTGTCCTGCTTCTGCACAAGTCATTTGCCTCAGGATGTAACTTTGAAATGTTATTCAAATATATTAGTATCATGTTTAATCTTCTTTATCAACCCTATGACTTCTTGCAGGCTGATTACAGCCAGCTGATTTGAATCTGAAGACTCAGATGACCTGAAGATGTTTTGATATTTTAAGCACAAAGTCTCTCTTAAGTAATTGTTTATAGTGACCTAATCAAGACGTGAATGAGCATTTGAGTACTGGCCAAGAGAACCAGTTTACCTCTGAACATCTTCATCATATTTTAATGTTGCATACAATAATCTTCTGATTTGCCCAAACATTACTGAGATATGCAAATAGCTTTTAAAATAAACTGTGACAAAAACTATACAAACACTAAACATATATTTTCCCTAATATACTCAAACATTTTACACAGTCCTATTTATTTCTTAACGTGAGGAACACCGTTTAAGCTACTGGCTCCGGTGTGAAGACTAAAATCTCAGAAATTGTTTGGGTCTGTCTAAAATCTTTAGATGTAAACAGCATGAAGTTTAGACTGAGGGAAATGAAATGCTCCTGTTCTTTAGAATTACAGCAGTTCCATGGAGTCCGGCGGTTCGAGCTGGAGCGGTCCTGCTGCTTCAGCGCTCTGCTGCTGGATGAAGAACGGGGCCGACTCTTTGTGGGGGCCAAGAACTTCCTGCTGTCACTCTCACTGGACAACATTGCTAAACAAGAACAGAAGGTAAACATGTATATTTCAAAAAGCTTGAGGGACTGAGAGGAATTTGTAGATCCATTCAATCAACGTGACTGATATTTCAACAAAAGTTTTGAGCAAAAATCCAGTTATTCTTGTACATTTATTGAAAAATATCATACATACAAGCAGCTATTATAAGACTGTGTTATTATTTTATTTTGTGTTAATCACAAAGTGGATTAAGCCATTATACTAGCAATAAATTAAATGGACCTTATTTGCAACTGGTGCCATGATGTCTGATTTCTTTAAATAGTTTATTACTTCCCCTATCAAAGCCAGACCACAAGTGGATGATTCCTTTGTATTCGTGTGTATGTAAAGAAATAGCAGAGAGAGACATTTTCAAAAGTGTGGACATGTTTTATGTGTGCCTTTTTGACATATGAAATGACTCAAGAACGTGACCGCAGGGGATGAAGGGAAAATGTGGCATTGATTGAAAATAATAAGAAATCAAGGAGCTGAACTGGAATAAGAAGAATAAGTTGCTTTTAAAAAGAAACATTCTGTAATTGAAGCCTCTGCCTTTACATTCTGAATGTGTCTTGATATACTATACTTTTACAGCTGCTCTCAAAGCAAAAGCTGTACACATTGAACTATGGGATAGCCTTCAAACACTATGAGGCAACTGAAAATATGGAAAGACTTAGAAAACTAAAGCTACAGTTTCTAAACATAGTCCATTAGAATCATCTTTCCTTAACAGTGTGAATTAAATGACATGTTTCGGGTTTTAAGGCATGTGTGAAAAATGGGTTTTATGACTAGGGGTGGGCAGATTTATTGCAGCAAGAGTCAGTTATGAAAAGTGGTTAAATGTTGGTGGGATGAAGGCCTCTATATGGATAAAGAAGCAGATGGGAAAGAATAAATGTCACCCAGAACTGAGTTGAACAAAAGTATGGAAAATCTGAATAAGAATGTCTTCATTATGAAGTGTTTTAGATCAGGTCCTTGGGTCCTTGGGTCATATTAATAAGACTGGTTGGAGATTTTTCAAAGCTGGTCTTTTTTGTGGAATGAATAACGACTAAACGTGATTGGATGGTTAATCTTTGCCTGCCTGCATTTTTTCAGATCTACTGGCCTGCACCTGTTGACTGGAGAGAGGAATGTAACTGGGCCGGCAAAGACATCACTGTAAGTCTACTCAATACTCGTAAGCCTACTCACTGTTATATCAGCATGCTTTTCCTAAAGAATTAGGGTCTATTACTTATCTATACATTCATATTGGAAAGTGTGCTGCCATAGATAAGAAAACACATTATTTCCCCTGCAGTTATCAGATGAGGAAACATTAATAGCACATACCAATGTTACCTCCTGTTTCAAATCGTTAGAATCATTAGGTAGATTCCTTTTCCGCATTCAAATGTGATCCTCTGTGCTGAAAACACAGAAATAAGAGGCTTTTTCATAGAGGAAGTAACTGTCGACTCCTACCCGGCCCAACACAATGCTACCTTTTGATCTACTGGAGTCATGGGAGCCATCACAAGACGGAATTCCCACATATAAACTGATAACATATTATAGTAGGTGCAGCACTCCCACTTCTGGACCTGCCATCTGGTGAGGATACGTCCTCGAAATGTTTAAACTTCATTGTGATATACACAGTTTATTGAAAAGCCAGTTCGGCGCTCAAATTCAGAGTGTAAACACCACATTACTTTCAGTTGTTTTTAAAAACAGTGTTGACACATCAGGGTAATGGAAAATTACCTCTATTCTGGGATAAGCGGTTAGAGAAATTATGGATACAGTTGGCATGCAAAGACTTTATGGACATCTATTAATATAGCCAAGTTTTGCTCAGTGTTTATGCAAGAGGATGTTATCAAAAAGTGAGGTTTGTAATGATTGCAGGATGATAGAAACACTCCACACATAAGCCACCCTCATCCATCCCTTGGTCTTTTTTTGGGGTGGTCAACATATGATTAAACGATGATGAAACATTTACTTTCCATTAATATGCTGAATAAAAGTAGCTGGTGATGATAAGGTGCCTCAATTCAGGTTCTGCTTCACTGGCCGACAAGTAGTGGCTACTAAAAGCCCGTGGACCACCCAGGTTTTCATGACACACCACTCCATATATCTGTGCAAGTGTGTGTATGTATGTGTGTGAGTGTGTAAAATGGTATTGTTCCACCAGCATGTTAAAACTCAGCACAAATAAGCTAGTTCATACTGCGTTCATACTGATCAATTGTTTGCTTTGTTGATTTTGTGTAAGCAGAAAATATCCAGGGTGTCTCCATGTCCATGTGTCTGTGCGTGTATAACAAGCCAGTCACCAGTGTGATTACACAGCTGTTGCAGACAGACAACAAGCTCCATTCATCCAAAAATCCAGGCTCCAGTTTCACCTGACCAGGAGAATATGCCTGTGTTCAGGTTTCATTTTGTTAATGTTTTGTTTGTGTGTGTTTGAAAGGGAGAGTGGAGATGATGAATGGCAAAGAGAATTAGTACAATTACTCCTGAGGAGGACAAGATGATGAGTATCGAAAAAGTTTTGGGTAATTCTGAGGACAAAGGGGACATTGAAATGTCTTCCTCCTCGGTCAGTGTACAAGTATACATACGTACATATATATATATACACACACAGTTACAGTTGACTTAGAGGTCTGAAGTATCATTTTGAAGTTATATTTAAGTATACTAAAGAAATGGATCAATGGATCAATGGCTCATGTGATTATGATGCCATGACAGCACCCTCTTTGTAAGTTTGTCTCTTTTCCAAAGAACTCCAAAAAGTTATCAAGTAGAAAGTAACAGCACATTTTAACAGTACATATTTCCGAAAGATTCTCTTCTTAAAACAGCACAGTCATAATCAAACACATTTATGCATTTAATCTACAATCTGATAATCAACATTGAAAATCTTGCTGCTTGTTAGAGATGTAAAAGGAAAAAGGTCCTGGAAAACAGGATTGAGAATTTAATGCTCAGACTTAAACCGTTCTAATGATTATTATTGACCTCACCATGATGTAGAGATACAGTATGATATGATCATTAATGCATTATAAATCTTGACAGCACAAATAACCTTTTGCAAGCTATAACGTAACATATGGTGGAAATTGAAACATATGATTTGAATAGCTTTCATTTATACATGGAGCTATGGATAGCTAAACAGATTTGTAAAGACTTTGAGACCTTTTTTTCATTACAATTCACCAGTATTCTTATCAATGTTGAAAGACTGGAAACATACAGAGGCATTCCACATAACCATGCAGCATTGTGTTACTTTAAGTTTTGCATTCATGAACATATGAAACAATGAAAAATTAATGGAAATAAGGAATCAACCATGTAACTGCTTTCTACATGGTCAGATTCAAGAAATGAGTCCCTCCAGGATAAAAGGTCAATTCCACCACATAAAATGTAACTAGCAGAAGCTATCAAAGGCATTCTTAGGCTATTAGACTGTGCTGTGTTGTGTATCTAGTGGATGTCAACCAGCATTGTAGTCCAGCCAAACCCTTTCAGTCATTAACTTTATTAAAGTTTCCTGAATCAAGAGGACTCACTGTGAAAACAAAAAAAGGAGGAAAAAATTCAATTTTCTATTGTTGACATATAACTCAAACAACTTTCAAACTGGTTTAACACTGCAACGACTCAAGAAAAAATGAGAAAGGAGAGAAACAGGTAGGGTTAAATAAAACCATCATAAACTAAAATATCTCATGCAATTTTTAATGGTATAACCCCACTCATATTTTTCTTACTTATAGTCTATTTGGCCAAATAGGTACATTGCATCAATGCCTATTTTTCTAGAATATGCCATAAAGGACAGAACAGACAGCTTAAAGAAGACACTGGTAAATCAAGTTAATCATCTCTTGAAAAAACAAAAGGGTAAGAATAAAAGAGACTTCTATAAGAGAAGGATATGGCTTTAAAAGACATGACGCAGATACTTAAAGTGCAGGCCACAGTGAGGTCACAGCCAGCTTTTTGCTCACTGTTTCAACTAATGAGTCTGCGGTAGGTCAAAGGTTGATCACCGAACCCTTTAACACCTCAACACACTCTTTCTCTCACACAAGCACACAAGTGTAATTGCTGGCATCATTTACCATCCTTGTTCTCTTCTTTGCTTCAGATCTTTTCAAAGTCTTTCAAGCATCCATTTTGTGCCCTATTGCTCTTTTTCTCTTTCGTCACATCAAAGAACGGCTGCTCTTAATACCATTTCACTGTTTGTTGCTCCCTGACAGACACACACTTACACAAACACACACAGCAAGAGGTGAAAGACAATAGAGATAGAACCAGGAGGTTGGAAGGTTGGAAGACATTTTGGAAAGATATTTGTGTGTGTCTACAATGGATTAACATTAAATTGTGTCATTTCCTTTCCTAAAATGAGCCAGGTAGTTTGAATCACTACAGCCCAGGAAATTGTGAATCACAAAATCAAAAGATAGACATTCAACGTTTAGCAGGATACAATTAAACATAAAAACATACAAGTGAGTTCTTCATATGTAGCTGCAGATGCTCTGATGTGTGGAGTCAGAAGAGAAAGAAAACTCAGGACCTGACACTGATTCTGAGTCTGTGTATTTCTCTTTCAGTCTGATTGCGTGAACTATGTGAAAATTGTTCACCACTATAACCGCACCCACCTGTATGCCTGTGGAACGGGGGCCTTCCACCCCACCTGTGCATTTGTGGAGGTGGGACACAGGATGGAGGTAAGAAATTGAAAAATGACAGTTTCATTAGATGTAAGGAGTATTGTTGAAAAATGATGATACCTGGATAAAACCTTAAAGTGTCAGTACAACTGCTATATCACTGAACTTTTCTGAACCCAAAAAATGATGAAGAAAACATTCTCTCTCAGGACCATGTGTTCAGGATCGATCCCTCGAAGGTGGAGGAAGGGAAAGGGAAGAGTCCATATGATCCCCGGCACAATGCTGCATCTGTTCTCATCGGTAACTGAGCCTGCAAACATAAAGGCTAACATGCTATTATGATTTTGCATAAATGCAATAGATTTTCAACAGCAGTCATATCATTGTTTCCCAGGTGATGAGCTCTATGCCGGCGTGGCCACAGACTTAATGGGACGGGACTTCACCATCTTCAGGAGTTTAGGAAAACGCCCTTCTATACGTACAGAACAACATGATTCCCGCTGGCTGAACGGTGAGCATGCTTTTCTCTTTATGCTTCAGGATGAACTCCAACTTATTCAGCCAAGTATTCATGAAGGAATAAAATCTCATTTCTTATTGGACCACCGTATGCTGACAACTAACATAGCTTCGTCTTTAATTCTGTCATCCAGAACCAAAGTTTGTTGGTTCTTTTTGGGTCCCTGAAAGTGAAAATCCTGACGACGACAAAATCTTCTTCTTCTTCCGGGAGACGGCAGTTGAGGCTCAGGGTTTGGGAAAGTCCACCTACTCTCGTATTGGACAGTTGTGCCGGGTGAGATACCGCTTTGTCTGTCAAGTCCACTCATTTGAACAAAAATATCAAAAGCAAGTATTCAAATCCATCTATAAAGGATTCTTCCTGATTAAGGGGTCAACTTGTTAAATCAAACACAAATCGAAATCCGGTTTTCTGTTAAATGAACGTCTTGTCTTGATTCAGAATGACATGGGTGGTCAGCGAAGTCTGGTGAATAAGTGGACGACGTTCCTGAAGACCCGTCTGATTTGCTCAGTGCCAGGAGCTGATGGCAGTGACACATACTTTGATGAGCTGCGTAAGTGTACTGTACACACAGTCAGAGGCACACACACTCAAAGACAAAGGCAGAGAAATTTAAGTAGCCAATAGCAAAGGATTTGTTGAATAGAGATTCTGTCCTGAAGTGAAACCAGTGTTCAGGCTGTTTATGCAACGTAACTGAAAGGCTTGTTTCTAGCAAATCTTCACGTGACGAAAAAACAACAACATGTTCTCATAAGGTGGGATGCAGAAATGGGGATGAATCTACAAGTCATAGACTCAGGCTAGAAGAACCATTATCAGATAAAGAGGACATAATGTCACCGTAAACTCACATGCGGTCTGCTGCCGCTGTTTGTCCAAGTAGTTTTGCACAGAAACTGCTCAAATGTTTGCCCCTGAGCTAAATTGAACCCTTTGCAAACCCCTTCTTTTGAACTATGAGTTTGTTTTGCAGTCAGATGCATTTGCCTTTCTCTTAATAAGATTCTATCTTCAAAACGTGCTTTTTTTGGATGGAAAATAGAAAAAGTGGGACCGCTTTTCATCTCAGTAAACTAACTATGTCTGTTCAATGAGTGATCCTACTGTGTGTCAACTGAAAACTTTGTTTACCGTAGTCTGAAAAGTGGACTTCCTTAAAGGCATCATTACTCAATTTTGAAAGGACTAGGACTTTATTATATAACATCTCTCAAACCTTCAGTCATGTGGTCTAAACCCAACAGCTGCAGGAGCACCTTTAAATATTTCTGATTGATCTGTCTGACTGTATCTGTGGGCTATAATATGATCTGCCTTTATGCTCATCTCATGACAGAGTGAAAGGTTAACTAAGTGGAAAACTTTGTCCAAATTCTAACCCCACCTCAGGCACATCTGTCAGTCACATTCCTCCATATAACAAGTCTGTCATACCAGCAGTGAGTTTGTAACCATACATCAGGTTAATTTAAAAAAAAATATGTGTACCCTGTTCTCTTTTTGATGGTGACAGATGAAATTTTGAACTTTTCTTCTTAGGCCAAAAGCTCATTCAAATCATTTATTTTGGAGCCAAACATCTGGCAAGTGGACCAAAATGTTTGTGTAGCACTTTTCTTTGTCAAAATGTAGTTACCAAACCCCGTACAAGGCTAAAGTGGATTTTGTTCTCCTTTATAACCATAAGTAATCAGTAAAATTTCTCGTTGTAGTGGTCAGACATGCCCAGAGGGCTTTGTTTATCTTTCTGCTAACCTTTGACCTCTATACTAAAGCCACCTGACCTAAGTGTGTGCAAATGTGTGTGTGTCCGTCCTCAGGCGACGTGTTCCTGCTGCAGACAAGGGACAGAAAGAACCCCCTGGTCTACACAGTCTTCTCCACTTCCAGGTCAGAGTCCACACACATTGTGTGTGTTTATCTAAATACACGTGTGTATGTATGCTACAAGAGACAACAAAGTGAATGCATGTTATGTTTGTGTTTTTTCGTATCTAACCCTCCTTCCCCTGTGTCCCAGCAGCAGTGTATTTAAGGGCTCAGCTGTGTGTCTTTACTCCATGAATGACATCCGGAGAGCCTTCCTGGGGCCTTTTGCCCACAAAGAGGGGCCCAACTACCAGTGGGTCCCCTTCCAGGGGAAAGTGCCCTATCCCCGCCCAGGAATGGTACGACAATAACCAAAATGCTATAACAACAGAGCACTAAAAGTTTCCAATAGTGAGCTCTAATCAAGTAATATGCTATATTTCTTCCAAGGTGTTGTTACTTATAGCTTTATTTTTTGTTAACTAACACATTTAAGAAGTACCGACAATGTGCTCTCCCTAACCCGAACTCTTTACACAGAATATACACTACAGGCATTAAACAAACATTGCCCCGTGAATGAAATATAAACTAATAAAAAACAACACCATTATTTGCAAGAAACCACCTGATGTAGAACCTGTAGAACAGATTATATGAGAGCTTTAAAAAGCCCTCTTTCATTCATTCTTCTTTTTCATTCATTCATTCTTTTTCATATGCCTGCTTCTATTGAATTAAATGCACTGATGACACGCATTAGCATTAAGACATTAATCTTGTGCTTGAGGTACTTAAGTACTCACTTTTAGACCTTATTTTCTTTTAGAGCTTCTTCACGGTTCAGCTGAATGAATAGCACAGCTTTTACATTCTGCTCAGCACACAAGCATCGGATCAGCAGGTTTTGTCATTCTGAGCTTAGGCTTTTCATGCAACAGTCGCTATGGTGTGAATGCAGGGTATAAATTGTATTTGACATACAGCTGTCTCACCATCATCACCTCGATGAGATTAATCAATAAAGAAATAAGAAATAGTAACGGAAAAAATCTTATTTCAAGAAAACAATAATGCTAACAAGCAAAAATACCCAAAGTTGCTAGTAAAAGGATACTCGGATTCCTTGATCTCACACAAACTTGAATCCAAATTATAACAATAATAAGACTAAAATATATCAGACTGTTTTGTTGAAAGTGTAGGCTCAACAATGAGGACAGGAATTTTAATTAAAGGGGGACGCTGGACTCTGAACTGGACTAAATCTCTTTCAAGTTCCTGAGACCCATCGCACTATAATCACTTCTCTGGCTTGCTGAACAATGCCTAAATTTACTTCAGGCCGGTTGAACTCAGTTGAAATCAAATATTTTATTTCAGTTAGCATGTACAGAGCAAAAACCAATTTACACAGCAGATATGAGTTAATCTCTGGAATGGGTGAGTGCACATGTTGTAAGGAGTATCTGAGAAGAGCATGTTCTCTCACCCAGTCCTCTACAGATAAGTTCTTTCTCTGGCAAAAGCATAACACAACATGTGTTTTCAAAGTGGCTTCAATTTGAACTTGATCAGATTAAGATTTTTTATAAAATCTGGTTGTTGTTTGTCTTTTTAAAATATTTTTAAGTTACTCGTGTCCCCACAGATCTTCAGCAAACTTTGTCCCAAAACAAAGTCAAATATGTATGTTGAATAAGTAAGTTAATCTTTTGTTTCCATTTTTCTCCATAAGTGCCCCAGCAAGACGTTTGGCAGCTTCGAGTCCACAAAGGGTTTCCCAGATGATGTGATCCAGTTTGCCCGTCACCACCCACTGATGTACAACCCCGTTTACCCCATGAGCAGACGGCCCATCTTCGTCAGAACCAACATGGATTACAGCTTCACACAGATCGCTGTGGACAGGGTCAACGCTGCTGATGGACAGTATGATGTCATGTTCATCGGCACAGGTCAACAGTCTGTTTTATTTCACCATTAAACTCAATCATTACGGTAACAAAATGAAAGTAAACTGTGACACGTGTGCTATTCCAGACAAAGGGACGGTACTAAAGGTGATAAATGTTCCCAAGGAGAGCTGGAACAACATGGAGGAACTTTTACTGGAAGAACTGGAGGTCTTCAAAGTAAGAACACTATGATGCAAAATTCTGTTCAGATAAAATCAGACTTGTACTTTGGTCCTGTGAGACTAGGTGATGAATATGCAATATAAATAGTTTGTTTTAAATGCTTATTAATAGATCTACATGTCTAAAGTATCCTCTTGAGTTTTATGTCCTTGACAGCATCTGTACATGGCATGATTATTAATTCTCCTCTTCCTTCCAGGATGCCTCATCTATCATCAACATGCAGATCTCCTCTAAACGGGTATGCTTTGATCCATAAAATCCCAGTGAAAATGTGGTGTTTTGTGATTGCTTTTTGAAAAGAATACTTCCAGTACAAAAAGTATAATCTTGAAATAAAAATAGCCAGTCATTTTCACTTTATGTCAATCCTATTTCTGTATTATAAATTGTATACCTGCACTGAAGTGTTAAAAATATGTTGTCGAAAGCCGTAGTAAACAACAATGGCAGTATGAAAATACATGGAGCATCACCTCAAGGCATCGTAAACCACAAAAAACTGTCCCATCTCCACGAGGCTGAGTGGTTAGATCAATAGATGATAAGAACTCCAGCTGTTTCTGACTTTGATAAGATCACATTCCTGAAGCCCTCCTCTCAAATTTCTTCCTACTGTGTGTCTTCACAGCAACAGCTGTATGTGGGCTCTGACACAGGGATTGCCCAAGTTCCCCTGCACCGCTGCAGTGTGTACGGGAAGGCCTGCGCCGAGTGCTGCCTGGCCCGGGACCCGTACTGCGCCTGGGACGGCACATCGTGTACCCGCTACCTCCCAAACACAAAAAGGTATGTGACATTGTCAATGTGACACACTCATGACCAGTCTTTAATGGAAAAACAGAGAGGACTGAGTTGTAAAATGTGGTACTCTTTACAGACGTTTCCGGCGCCAGGACGTACGGAACGGAGATCCCAACACCCTTTGCTCTGGAGGTAAAACCAGCGAAGCATTGCCACACGCTTCAAAACATTATTCTTGCGCTGATTTGTTAGGAAAACCATTCTTACTTTTGGTAATACAACATCCAGCCTGGAGTGACAGTAATTGGCCGTGAAGGCTGGCAGCTGCAGATGCAGATTCACGTGACAATAAAGCAGTTTGATCCTGTTCGGACTCAGAAACTATTGTCGTCTAACATCTTACTGTCAGTCTGGTGAAATGTCCGAAATAGCCTCCTCCTCCTTCACCCGCAGTGACCTCTGTCTTCTTCCACCACAATGCCAGCATTCTGCTGGTGCTATCCGTCTTTCTGCCACACATATAATTCAGGGTAATCGCTCAAACTGAAGGAGCTCCCGGGTAATACGATTACATCACATGGCATGCGGGCGCGAGTTGTGTAAAACTAATGAAGGTCAAAGCAATTGTCTCTGGTGTGATTGGCCTTTTCCCAAACTACTGATCAGTCTGTTTGGCAGATTGTACACCATTGTTTCCCCCATAATCCATGCAATTCCTTTAGCTCTTTGAGAGCTTTTAGTTGAGGCTGGTACTGTTACTGACATCATTTTATTACCTTAATTGCAAAATCAATACATAAGTGCCACGAAGACAAAAAAGTATTTTTTTTCTATCTCACACCAGCCATGTGGCAAATGTGTTCACATCAGTTACAGTACAAACGCAGGCAAAATGTAATATCGAAATTGTTGTGTACTTCCCCATCAAGGGGAATGCTGTCATTCAATAGTGGGCAAGATTTTATGGTGCAAACAAATAATATAGATCACAGTTCTGCTGTGATCTCAATCAATACATTTTTTACTTGTAGTCTTTAGTTAACTTTCCTTGTTCCACTCTCTTCTGTACTTATCTTCTCTCGAGGTATTTGCATATTTGTCTAGCATTACCATTTGCTGCTGTTCCTGTTCTCACCTCTTGTATTTTTATTATCAGTGTGCACTTTCTCTGAAGAAGCCCATTCTTAAAGCCTTTGTCTCTGCTGCCCCCCACAGACCACCACAAGCACCGTGTTGCTGAGAGAAAACTGTACGGAGTTGAGGGAAGCAGTACTTTCTTGGAGTGTATCCCAAAATCTCTTCAGGCCAGAGTCACCTGGACCTTCCAGAAACATCCACAGAACCCTCGAGAAGAGGTGAGAACAGCAGTAAATGAGAGATGATGACGGAACATTAACACAAACCTCATGCGGCAGCTTAACATGGTGCATTGCCCTACAATAATTAAAAGACAGACAGTACTATTTAGAAACACTCACAGGTCTTTATGTACCAAACTTTTCTTGACGCATTCCCTTGTGCAGTAAGTTTGCTTATAGATACATATTTTTCACCCTTCAGGTACGTCTAGATGAACGTGTCCTCCAGACAGACAGGGGCCTACTAATTCGTCGTGTCCTAAAGAGAGATATTGGCGTCTATCAGTGTCATGCTATGGAGCACGGCTTTACCCAAACGTTACTTGGTATCACCTTGGAAGTTGTACCCTCAACATCTTCTGCCATATCCAATCTTCCTTCCGACGCTCCTGTCCGATTAGATCCCCGCAGTGGAGGAGGTTCCTCGATGACCAATCAAAAGCTCTGGTACAGGGATTTCATGCAGCTTGTGGACCATCCCAACCTGAGCACGGTGGACCAAATTTGTGAGCAAGTTTGGGCACGCAAGAACGCTGGCGCTGAGGCAGCAAATAAGGGTTTCCCCGCTCCAGGGAAAGATATCCCACCTGCGGGACCCGCTGTCCGTCCAGCCAATAAAAAGTGGAAGCATCTCCAGGAGATCAGGAAGGGGAGAAACCGCAGGACCCACGACGGGAAACCGAACCCTCGGGCACCACGTAGTGCGGGGGAGTAAAGAAGCAGAGGAAGAGATGGAGGGAGAAAAAGATTGACTGATACAAGAGGGAAGGGTGTGAAAGAAAGAGACCAAGAGATGAAAAACTCATGGAGGTGTTCACACATTCAAATACACATACCGACGCACATGCACACACACACACATGCACACACACTCACTCTCACACAGCACCTACCGGCTGTGTATATTTATCTATGGATGCCCTTAGTATATGGTACACTATTCCCTGAGCCCTCATCCTTCTGACCAGCCCCCGCATGTGCTGCCTTACTGCCCAAATTGATTCTGCATGATCCCTTTACACAATTTCTGGCAAAGCCATGAACCAGCAGAAGAAAACCCACCATTATCTGCAGGCAATAACTGACACTCACCCATGGTTCCTTGTGCCACTGACTTTATTTGGAAGATGTGTTCACAAAAGTTGAGCAATTACAAGCGAAACACACATTTCATTATTGGGTGATAGTATGCTCATCTACTCTCTGGATAAGACCACTCCAAAAAATTGTATGAAGTTTGGATGAACGCTGCCGATGGCTGACGGTTTTATGATACGATGGCCAACACAAGTGGAGACAAATGGAGCAATGTAATAACTGGAACATGTTTTAAAAGTTTCCATTTCTTACTGGATAAACATGGCAAGTTATGAGTAATTGCATACTGACAGAATAATGTTTTCGGAACCCAATAACTGATGAACTGACCATCTTTCTGTTGCCCTGTTGGTGCACATATTTCCATCAATGCCACTTTTCACATGTTTTGTATGCAGTTAAAAATATGTGTGAGCACCTGTGGAACAAAACAGCATGTTGCAAAACTGATTATATCATGCTGTGATTTTTTTTTAGCTATGGTATTAGATTTCTTGAGATATGTCAGAGCAAAATAAAAGCCACAAGACAATACCAGTGGTTATAGGTAGAGAGCAGTCACAAGGGGGCAGATATTACTCTGCGTTTTCCTCCAAACCACTAGAGACTGAGTAGAGACAATCTACTGTCTTTCCAGGATATGAGAGAAAAGTGAGATGTTTACATGACATTTTCAAAGCCAGAGACTAAATTCAAATACATCTGTTTAAATATGCTTACTACAAAATTACTGCTCAAAAAAGAACCTGATTAGACCTAAACGTTTTGTTTAGCACTAGTGTTGAAAGAATTGTTCAAAGAATTGCTAAAAGACATTGAGATAATATGATTTCTTATTGCTGGGGGGAAAGAAATTTGCTGTGTTTACTAGTTTGGTCATTGACATTGCATTTTGGCTGCAGTGGGGGTGAGAAGCATATATGATATAATGAGTAGGATGAGGAGGAAGAGAGGGAAATCTTAGTATGACAACCCATATTTCTGGGCTACAGTACATAACATACATATATACATATACATATATGTAAGTATATATATATATATATACTTATATATATATATACTTATATATATATATTAGCATGATATTTATACGTGAGACTATGATTTTTTTGTATTCTAAGTGGTACTTAATTTCTTTGACACTGTTCTTGCATAATTGTTGGTGATAAAAAAGATATGCAAGTTATATGAAGTGTGCGAGTTGCAAAGCAGTGAGAGCTGCCCCTCTGTGCTTCCCACAACGATTTCCCACCATTTTTTAAAAGAAAAAAATCTAGTTTCAAACACTGTTGTAATCACTTCTTAATGTAGTGTTACAGTCATTCATTTCATCAACTTTTGCTGCTTAAGGATGTCATCTCTACAAAATGGACGGTTAGTACAATAATATCTTCCTTCTCCATGTCTTAGTCTAATCTCTCTGTGTGTTATCCGTAAAGAAATCTTGTCTGTTGCTTGTCTGTGCTAACACGGTGTGTGTAGTCTACCCCCTAGTGTTTGTTGTGTGTACAGGCTTAGATAATAGCCTACTTGTGGTACCATACTTTAATATATCATAGTATATACCCACTAAAGAAAGCAACTGGCTGAAATTGTAGGATACAACATGCATTCATGTTTTGCTTTCATGAAATCTCAATTTGATTTTTGTGTTGATTGGATCGTCTGGTTTGTGCTGTCGCTACCAAGTAACGTGGTCTAAAGATACTGCTTCATTTCACATGGACGTTTTCTTCAATTCGCACATGTAAAGGGAGACAGCATAAACCAGATCTACGTGTGGATTTTAGATGTATGGAATCATTGCTGTTGTTATTTATGTACCTTCTTTATAGATATGGAATTGTCTCTCTAAACTAATTAAATTTGTGATACCTAAGAAAAGGACACTCTGCATTTTAACACAACAACCAGAAAGACATCATCCACGGCAAAAAAGATTGAATGATAAATAGGCTGTTGGTCAGTAAATGCACACACAAGATCAATGTAGTTGAGACTACAAATTTTACAAACTGAAAGAAAATTGTTACTCCCTGTATAATTATTTTACTTTAAATGTAGATCGTTATATGAATGGTGACGTCAAAGCAGTCAGAGTATCCCTTTTAAGCCAGTTGTTGTTTTGTGCTTTAATTTGCATGACTAATATTAGTGGCTAATGCGTTTGACAATGGTGTGGTGGCAAGAAAGAGCGAGGGACAGAAAGCACAATGTTGAATATTATTAGGGGGGCCACGCCTGCGGCATGGCCCACCTCGGTGGCCCTTAAGGGCCCACCGAGGTGGGCCTTGCCGCAGGCAAGGCCCACGTATTACTCTTCGAAATACTTATTCTGTGGCTTATTATTATTATCGTTCTCCCGTCTCCGTCACGAATTTCGGCGCGTTACTCGTCCCGCACGGTTCCGCGGATCGGGCCCAAAACCGGCACGCGCGTCCGACCCGACCACGGGATGCGTGCTATTTCATAACTTTCTCAAAGGAGCGGGCGTTTCCGAGGAAACGGCGAAAAAGTGGCGAGCGTTTTCCCATAGGAATGCATGGGGGACGCAGAAAAAAAGGCACAAAAAAAGCCGAAAGATGAGGCCCGTCAGGGCCTCATCGCTCGGGCCCAGAGCGTCCGAGAGACGTCGTTTGAACATTGAACGGGACACGAAAGACGGGCCTCCGCCATATCGGAGCCACGAGGCCAGATCTCGCACCGTTTGCCCGCAATCGCTGTTGACGTTTTAGTGAAATTCAGAAAATCAGAGATCCTGGCCCGCACTCTAATTCAGCTCGTTAAGAGCTCTCAGAGTCCAGTGGGGAGGTTCACTGAAAAAAAGTCAAACTATGGTCCCTCGCGACCAATCCGTGGGGCCGAGCGGTGCCAAAATGGCCTCAAAACGTAGCTGCAGGTGTCCTCTTTCAGCCGATGTGCCCGGTGTGGACCTCGGCCTTACGGTTCTCCGGCAATCGGGCCCAGAGTCCAGACTTTCCCAACACTCTCCAATAGGATTTTAATGGAAGAAAGGAGAGATTTTTTTTCACCAGAGAAAAAACGACCCTCATTTTGAAATTGCCATAAAAAAATAACCGCTGGGAGCAGGCGAAAAATAAACAGATGTGCTGAGACGTGAAAGTCTCAGCCCGCTCACGGTCCAAGAATTTTTCAGTTTTGTGCTATAGTTTTCGAACAGCGTACAGCCGTTCGGAGGTAACGTTTGATAGAAACTGCCACTTCTCTGTGTCAGAACTGCGGCTTACTGATGAGTCACAGGTGTGGGAGCAGAGACTTTGGCCTGGCTGCTGTCGCCGTGGCGACCAACAGAGACTCTGCAGAGTTCTGTGAGCTGGGCTTTTGCTTCAAAGGCGGGCGAAGCCCGCTCTCAGTGATTTTTTAAGAAATACGTCATTCCTGTTACCATGGCGGGCGAAGCCCGCTTAGAGGGCTTTAGTCAGAGCCCGGTTCTGGTTCCGGTTCTAGGAATAGGACCCAACCGGGTCAGAACCGGACCGGGGCCATGTCATACTCCTGGTTCAAGGCGGGCGAAGCCCGCTCTCAATGATTTTTAAAGAAATAGGTTATTTGTGATTCAAGGCGGGCGAAGCCCGCTTAGAGGGCTTTAGTCAGAGCCCGGTTCTGGTTCCGGTTCTAGGGATAGGACCCAACCGGGTCGGAACCGGACCGGGGCCATGTCATACCTCGTTGCGTAGGTCTTTTTCTCAGCTTTCAGCCAACGTGACCCCCGACCTGCCCGCCCCATCCGCATTCGGTCAGCGGGCCCCAGAGCTCAGCCGGGAGCTGAAAAGGCGGGCGAAGCCCGCTCTCAGTGATTTTTTAAGAAATACGTTATTCCTGTTACCATGGCGGGCGAAGCCCGCTTAGAGGGCTTTAGTCAGAGCCCGGTTCTGGTTCCGGTTCTAGGGATAGGACCCGATCGGGTCGGAACCGGACCGGGGCCATGTCATACCTCGTCGCGTAGGTCTTTTTCTCAGCTTTCAGCCAACGTGACCCCCGACCCGCCCGCCCCATCCGCATTCGGTCAGCGGGCCCCAGAGCTCAGCCGGGTCCCTCCATCACTGCGTCTCTCCCTCAGGCCCTCTCATAGGCGCGAGCCCACATTACAGAGAGCCCAAACATCGATTGGCCGACCCGCCCCGGGTTCCCAGACGGGCAACGGGTGGCCCCCCTCCAAAATTTCTTCAGAAATTTTCTAGTTATTATTATTATTATTATTGTTATTACTATGTATTTATGTGCAAAGATAAGCTGATGTGTTGTGGTGGATTTTTATTTTTCTTATAAGTGTAGATTTGCATCTGTACTGTTTTTGTTCCAAGGATTCATCCCAAAAGTTTTTGTACATTGCAGCCGATGGAGAAGCTCTTCCTGAATACAGTGTCCAATTAGAATCTTTGTTGTTCAACAAGCCCTCCAGTACACACTCCTGTTGTATCTGATGCCCTGTGATGCACCATTGTTCAAAAGCTCACAAGGAGAGACTTTTGTGTGTGTGTGGGTGTGTGTGTGTTTGCGTGTAAGAGAGAAAGGTGTGCTTCATGTGTGTCTGTGTGTGAGCTTTAGGAGATAGTAAAGCTTTGTATATAATGGCAAAGGAGCGGTGGTGTGTAGAGAGGTGTTGGCTGAAGGTTCAGTGGTCGAAGGCCAAAGTAAATGTGGTACACTGTAATACTCCCAGGTCTTTGTGAAATGTCATGTCAGATTGTTTTTGATTAACACAATAAAAAAAATATGCAGTTACTTCAAGTTACGTTTGTTAAACTCTTTTGAACATCTCTCAAAATATTGACAGATAAAAGTGAAAGGAAAGGAAAAATTATTAGTGGTACATGGTAATGTACTCTGGGTATATTGTTGTTTTTCAAAACTAGGCAAGTCCAGCACTAAAAGCATGCAGATATCTATTTTTTCAACCTACAAGGTAATCATTTACGCCTATACTAGCTGTTAACTCTTCTACAACACTGTCAGTCTTCAAATTGGGCAGGTTACGGTCCGCTGAAAGACTTAGATTATCCTGCTAATCAACAATAGCACAGCAAGGGAGGAATTAAAGAGAAAAGGGTC